AGACGATCCAAATGCAGCTATTTTAGTATTAGATGGGACTTATCTTTATATTCAAGTAAGATTTTCTCACGTTCTTTTCATGTGCTTTTTGCTATCCTCGTTCAGACAAAAATATTTAGTATCACTGTAGGGCTCACAGAGATGGGGAATATTAGAACATAATTTTAGTAGAACTAGAAACGTTAAGCTGTTTATATATTCAGCCGTAAAGCCTCACTAAATTGAGCAGGTAATTAGAGACACTAGAAGATAAGAAATAAAGAATTTACACAGTAATAATGTGTATCTCCTGATTGACCGTGACGGTATTACTTTAAAGTACTTTACATGACCGTATTTGAGGAGTCAAATAAATAGATAAGAGCTACGATCTTAACACTGAATTTTAGAAAAGCCGAAATAATGAGTTCCAACGTCGTTCATACAGCTTACACAAACATAGATCCCTTCTTAAGCCCATGGTGATAGTAACAACCACAGGATATATTGTTTCTGTATTTGGTCCGTACTTATCGGACAATAAAAATAACGATGCTGCTATTGCGAAAGATATACTTTTGAAGAACAAGGAAGATATTTTACACTGGGCAGATGAAAAAGATATTATGGTGGTTGACAGAGGTTTTCGGGATTCGGTTGGAGTGATGCAAAGTTTAGGGTTTGATGTCGCTATGCCAGAGTTTTTAGATGGGAGACGAAGATTTGACACGACGGACGCTAATCGATCAAGATTCGTGACTAAGATAAGATGGGTTGTGGAGTGTGTAAATGGAAAACTTAAACATTTTAATCTGTTGAATAAAACCCTACAAAATTCTACTATTAGTCAAGTACGGGATTATCTTCGGATTGTTTGTGCTTTGATTAATGCTTATGGATCTCCAATGGTTACACCCTCGCCTTACACTGATAAAATAGCAAAATTTATGTTGACATCTCTAAAACAAGAAAATCGAATTCGACTACGTGTGGATAATAATCAATATAATTGGAAAGATATTAATGCTAGCAATCTCGTATCATTTCCAGTTTTAACACTGGATGAAATACGAAGCTTAACTCTAGGTGAGTGATTCTAGAATTTTAATATCTTAGATGAGATTATGCGTATTAACAGACCGATTAACAGTCTCACTTACGACCCCATAAATATACCCGTTTCTGCACATCAGTTGAGGTCTAAAAACTGGTAATACGATCATGTGTTGCATAAAAAATACCACATTTCAGGATCGTTTCAAATAAAACAAGCCCGCAGTTACGCAGAAGAACATTGCTCAACTACAGATCTAACACAACATGCAAATTATATAATACAAATATGTGCAGCGCCAGACTTAATCAGGATTAAGCTCCGCTCGAGGCATATAACTGCTCACTCCTACTGGTCTTACATACAATTTTCACAGTTTTCTATCGAAGGAAGTTGTTGTGATTGTAAAACCGGAAACAGAACTGTCGGTATGTGCTCGCATAGGGCTTCAGGAATCTGGTTCTTAGCATATCAACGGTATCAAACAGAAACACGGCAAAAACCATCTGGAACATTCTTAGCAATTTTTGATGATACGCATCCAAGTGTCAGACTTTTACGACAGCACAGACGAAGAAGATAATGCTACATATTCTTTAACTTGATTTCTTCTTTTCTTAAAACTGTTGTGCTATGTGACCTACAATAAACTTCAAAAATAACTTACGCATGCGTGAAAGACGTATTCTTTTAAAGCCAACAATTACTCTTCTATTTATACAGTCTTGATATCTATATTCTACTAAAATCTTCGTGTTCTTTACTTTTCTCGTCGATGTCCAGACACTACTACATCTGTCTACAACACGACGGACACATTAATAGAACAAAAAATAATAATGAAATATCTCTCTCCCTCCACGTGCTAACTGTCATACTACAACAAAAAAGTTCGCTACAGACGCACAGTATTTCGACAATTGTGCTATATGGGCGCATTTTCCAAAGACTTATTTCTAGCTTATTTTGAAGCCTAAAAGATTCTCTATCTTTCTGTATATAAAACGTTCCGGGTCTGAGGAGATGAGTTCAAGAAATATTTCTTTACAGCACTAAGATAGGTGAACTTGATGATATTTGTCTAGTATTTCGNTCTGTATATAAAACGTTCCGGGTCTGAGGAGATGAGTTCAAGAAATATTTCTTTACAGCACTAAGATAGGTGAACTTGATGATATTTGTCTAGTATTTCGACTATTGACCCATGTGGGCATATTTTCGAAAGACTTATTTCTAGCCTGTTTTGAAGCCCAGAAAATTCTCTATCTTTCTGTATATAAAACGTTCCGGGTCTGAGGAGATGAGTTCAAGAAATATTTCTTTACAGCACTAAGATAGGTGAACTTGATGATATTTGTCTAGTATTTCGACTATTGACCCATGTGGGCATATTTTCCAAAGACTTATTTTTAGCTTATTTTGAAGCCTAAAAAATTCTCTATCTTTCGGTAT